GGATTTCGCATGTCCATTAATCCAGGAACTAAGGGTTTCGCATAGATAGCTGTTTTCGGCGTGTGGAAGCATCCCAGAAACATCATCATCATCATAAAATGCCATAATGATGATTGCCCGGGCAGTCCTGGTATTTTTGTGCAATGGTTCGTGCCGCATTGACGTTAAAAGCATGTTATGCCTATAGTTTACAATCCTTTGAAAAGATTATTCGTTTTGTAAGTGTACATACGCAGTGATCCATGCGAGGAAACGAGTTATGGCTAGGATTTTCCAAAGAGATAGCAATTCTATCAAGAGTAAGTGATGGCAAGTCATATAGTTAAGTCGATTGAGCGGCTGAGATATTTTTCGAAACAAAGGGTAATTTTGCAAAATTCTGATGAATGCGAAATTGTGAAATTTCGAGTTAGCAATTTTCCCGCTAAAACTTTCACATGCTTGTGTACGAGACTTGGATGTGCTTACAGGTTAGTAATGCATACTTGAAGGTTAGTACTGCGTCACCGAGGAAGAATACGGTGCCTGCCACTTTGTTCTACCTCAACATTTGAAGTAAAACCTGTCCTCATATTTTAATTCAGTATTTGGGCTAAAATTTTTTTCTGCTACTGGACCTAAGAAGACCGATTTCGTGTGGGAAAACTGGTAAAACGCAATAGCAAATTACTCCAGGCATGTCTGCTATTCCACGTTAATAAGTGGCGTAAACTGATTTCTGTTGCAGCTTCAGCGTTTTCCGTATCCGCCGTACACGAATAAGATCATTGAATTGGGTTCGTTTTTTCTGCCTACCATCGTTGCATACTCGTTTATGATCAATGTTGTCTACATTACACGCAGCATTGTGGTCGAAAAAGAAACACAACTTAAGGTTTTAAATGTTTTCTTTAAAAACAATTACTTACCAGCTGAAATGTACTTGCTTGCCTCCCCGTACCCTGTGAACATGGTCAAAAAGTTTAATTTCTTTTATTTCAGTTCTTGGGTAAAGTGACGGCTAGTTTGAGTTAACCTCCGCTTCTTGTAGTTCGGCTCACAGAAATAGCTAGGGAAGTGCTGCTGGTAAAGTTAGTGCTTCGGACTCATCCGAGAGTCTTCCTTAATGCAGATAGACCAAGATTTGCCGCCCTAATAAATTGATCATGCGCAGTAACAATTTACCATCGAAACAAAGGAACGAACTGCTGGAGGACTAGTTTTTGCGCTGGCAAATTTGGGCTTATATATTACGAATGATTACAGGTGTTA